CAACGTTCAGCTTCGTGTCCAGGTTTGGGGTGATGTGTCCAGTGAGTTTGAGTGTTTGAACAAAGCAAAGAGGAGAAAACCTTTTGGAATTAGGTTTAGTTTTAGGAAAGACCTTTGTGTAATAACGTTTCTTTTGTGTGTCATTGTCTCTGGTCTCTTTATGGTCTCTCTTTGTGGTCTCTCTCTCTGGTCTCTCTCTGGTCTCTCGCTGGTCTCTCTCTGGTCTCTCTCTCTCTCTGGTCTCTCTCTGGTGTCTCTCTTGTCTCTCTCTGGTCTCTCTCTGGTCTCTCTCTGGTATCTCTCTGGTGTCTCTCTGGTCTCTCTCTGGTCTCTCTCTGGTCTCTCTCTGGTCTCTCTCTGGTCTCTCTCTGGTGTCTCTCTGGTCTCTCTCTGGTCTCTTTATGGTCTCTCTCTCTGGTCTCTTTATGGTCTCTCTCTGGTCTCTATCTCTCTCTAGTCTCTCTCTGGTGTCGCTCTGGTCTCTCTCTGGTCTCTCTCTCTCTGGTCTCTCTCTGGTCTCTTTGTTGTATTCATAAAATTCAACAAAAAAGGGAAAAAAGAAAAAAACATTGAAATTTGAAAATCAAATTGGAAAAAACTATGCTCATTTAAATATTGCATGGCATTATGTAATATTTTTGTTTTGGTTTTTTTTGTTTAATTTTTTATTGAATCACCCAGTGATAGGGGAGTACATATACAGTAGTTACATCCAAGGAAAACATACAGTAGTTATATACAGTATAAAGAAAACATATACAGTAATTACATACAAAGAAAATAGATTATACAAACTCCTGTATGGTAGCATTGTGGGGAGGAGGGGGGGGTTCAGAGTTGCACAAGAGTGGTGTGTGTGTGCGTGTGTGTGTTTGAGTGTGTGAGATATGGTAAAAAATAAAAAATAATAATAATAATAATAAAAATATAAAATAACAATTTAACAAAAATTAAAAAAGTATATGCACTGTGTGTAAATCTATAGACTGGTCATGGCGCCGATACCATCACCAAAAAGGTTCTAAACAATCCTGGGAGGGATCTGATATACATATTATGACGGGTGTGGTGTGGTGCTAGGATGTGTAGTGTCATGACTGATGCATTAAAAATCAAGCATTATGTAATATTTAAATGTATAATGGCATATTGTAAAAATGTAGATTTATATGATATGCCTTGAGCTTTGAAGAACTAAAAAAAAATAAAAAATTAATTGGGGGGTTATCTTATTGACTTAACAAAACAAAAAAACACAACCAAATTGGGAAAAACAAAGCCTTTTGGTATAGCTTAAGAATGCGAATTTTTAAGATATGCATTAAGCTTTGTTGAGCTGAAAAATAAAATAATTGGAATGAGGAGGGGGGGGGGTTAGAAATTAGAAAAAATAAAAAAAATAAACATTTTAAAATGTTTGTCCTGTATATTATGTAGGTGTGTGTGTTTGTGTGTGTGTGTGTGTTTGCGTTCTTTTTGTGGACATATGAGGACTTTTGTATGATAACACACCTTCAATATGGAAACCTGAGGAAATATGGGGACTTTTTTCAGGTCCCCATTTTTCCATGCATACTACAGTGTTGTAGAGTCCCAAAACATGCTCCACACCAAAAATCAAGCATGTCCCAAAATGTCTACAAATAGTGAAAACACTTCGTCCCAAAAAGCTTGTTACGCCCCCTATGGTCGTGCACGGATCTACCTTAACACACTTTTAACACACACACACTTGTCCTCATATGTCACTAATTTTGTCACAAACTTACATACATTCCCAGAGGTGGGTAGAATAGCCAAAATATTGACTCAAGCTAATTTAAATACATACTTGAGAAGTAAGTGACTGTTTGTACAAAAAAAAACCTTTCAGCCAGAAGGGACCTGTCAGAGTGGAGCTTGCTTGTTCTCCTTGTGTCAGTAGATTTTCTCCGGGTACTCTCGTTTTTGATAAGACTAAAAAAATGTAGAAAAGGCTCCCTGAAAAATATTCTTGTTTAAATAAGAATTTTAAATATCAAAAACAAATATGTAAGTGAGGTGTAAAAAAAAAAAAAAAAACATGTATGATTGGAAATTATTTTAAAATAAAGTTAAACTGGATTTGTCCTCTTACAGAGTTACTCTCCGTGAAAGGATTAGCTATTGATAAATATTTCACTCAGACCTGAAGTGCTTGTTATTCTGTAGGTCCTAGTATCTCACTCAGACCTGATGTGTGTGTTGTAGGTCCTAGTATCTCACTCAGACCTGATGTGTGTGTTGTAGGTCCTACTGTAGTATCTCACTCAGACCTGATGTGTGTGTTGTTGGTCCTAATATCTCACTCAGACCTGATGTGTGTGTTTCGCGTCCGGCGTAAACGTGGCATATTGTGGTTAGCGCGGCAACCTTGAGGTCTTGCACAAAGACCGTCCACAACGTTCACCTTCGGGTCCAGGTTTGGGGTGATGTGTCCAGTGAGTTTGAGTGTTTGAACAAAGCAAAGAGGAGAAAACCTTTTGGAATTAGGTTTAGTTTTAGGAAAGACCTTCATGTAATAACGTTTCTTTTGTGTGTCATTGTCTCTCTCTGGTCTCTTTATGGTCTCTCTCTCTGGTTTATCTCTGGTGTCTCTCTGGTCTCTCTCTGGTCTCTTTATGGTCTCTCTCTCTGGTCTCTCTCTGGTGTCTCTCTGGTCTCTCTCTGGTCTCTGTCTGGTCTCTTTATGGTCTCTCTCTCTGGTCTCTTTCAGAGTCAAAACTATTGAACTTAAACCCAGGTCAAAATACTGATAAACTCTTTGATTTGTGAGGACTTTGTGAACTGTGAGAAACCTACTGAGCCAAAGATCAGTAAAGATAAAATGTTTTTCTTATAAGAGCGTAACTTTATTGTTTACTATACTGTTTAGGATAGCACAAGTTGGTGATACATTTAAATTGTTATTGTTTTATGCTTGATATAAAGGATTCATTCAATCATAGATAATCAAAAAGAGGATGAACTCTGGAGGAGGGATGTAAAAAACTATGAATTTTCATGACCGACCACCGAGCCTCATTAGCCAGTTGAAACCGGTTAACCGTGTAGTTTAAAATATTCCATGTTCAACATTACACGCTTTTGTTGATGATACTTTGCTCATTTGTCGAGACTCGGATGAAATCAATGAAACGTGATGTTCGTCCAGACCTCTGACTGCGCTGAGACCTGTTGAATGTCACAGCAGAACCTGCAAGGGGCGCTCACGTGAATGTCCTGCACACAGACTGTCCTGCGAGAGCTCCAGCGGCGGCAGAGTTCTCAAGGCACGCCCCGGCAACAAAATAAATATTATCATTAGTTTATTACAGAAACAACCATGTGATTTCAAATTATACAGGATTAAAACAACAGGACATATTCAAAGATAAGTCCCTCTTTGCACAGGCCTCACGTCGTCATGACAACATGCCTTGCTATGTTGTCATGGCAACCCAGATTGCCTTTATGAAGTCATTCTAGAATGTCTGCTTTAAAAGGTTACGTCAGGAAGACGTTAACAGGCCAAAGTTAATATCTGTCCGACAGCAGTGTATTATTTGACCACATTATAGGAACCGAAGCAAACACAAACACAGACAACATGCAGCGTGGACTCCCCAGTGAAGTCCACAAGACCGACCTGTCCCTCCTGTACGAACTGGCATTACTGCACCACCTGCAGCTGCAGTTTAATGAGATGGGAAAAGAAGGCCCTTGCCATGCACCGACTTTCCACATACAGCTGAGAGTAGGGGACCTGGTGGGATTTGGTTCAGGCCCCACCAAACAAAACGCCAAGCTAGGTGCAGCTAAGGTGGTTTTGCATCAGCTGAGGAAGCGTCCTTTGCCAGAGGACGTGACTCCATACTGGTCCAAACCACACATGGAGCTGGTGGACCCCTCACAGCGGGTCCACTTCTTCTACAAGAAAGACCCCATCAGTGCCCTGGCAGAGATCTTGATGGTGCGGAAGCAGAGGCCGGCCGAGTACAGGGTGGTCGGCTTCCAACACCGTGGCTACCGTGTGTCAGAGTTCTGTATGGAGGTCAGCGTGGACCAGAGGACATGTCAAGGCCTGGGTCCAAACAAGAAGACGGCCAAGCTGGAGGCAGCAGAGGCGATGCTGCACATGATGGGGTTCAAAGAGCAGATGGAGCTGGACAACCCTAAGCAGTCCCCCTCCGAGGAGCTCCTCTTCCAGCAGAGGGTCTTCAAACTGCGAGAGACAGAGAAGCTCGAGGCCCGGCAGAAGTTTAAAGATACTGTCACACCAGCCCTGAAGGACACACCTGCATCACAGAGAGAGGTGTCCCCACCGGCCCGAGAGGTAACCATCCCAGAGATGCCTGTCTCTGAGACGCCAATCCTAGTGGAGTTAATCAAAGAGGAGCAAATCAAAGAGGAGCCAATCAAAGAGGGGCCAATCAAAGAGGAGCTGATCAAAGAGGTTCCTATCTCTGAGGAACCAATCATAGAGGTCCCTATTTCTGAGCAACCAATCCTAGAGGAGCCAATCAAAGAGGAGGCAATAAAAAAGGAGGCAATCCCAGAGGTTTCTGTCTCTGAGGATCCAATCATAGAGGATCCCAGACTAGAGCAATCAATTCCGGACAACCCAATCCTAGAGGATTCTCTTTCTGAGGGTTGTGTCCCCGAGCTGCCTGTCCCAGAGGAGCCAATCACAGAGGTGCCTGTCCCAGAAGAGCCAATCAGAGAGGTGCCTGTCTCTGAGGAACTAATCCTGGAGGAGCCTGTCTCTGAGGATTTCGTTCCGGAGGTGCCAATCACAGAGGTACCTGTCCAAAATGAGCCAATCACAGAGGTGCCTGTCCCCGAGGAGCCAATCACAGAGGTGCCTGTCCCCGTGGAGCCAATCACAGAGCTGCCTGTCCCCGAGGAGCCAATCACAGAGGAACCAATCATAGAGAATCCAATCACAGAGGAACCAATCATAGACAATCCAATCACAGAGGTTCCTTTCTCTGAGGATCTAGTCCAGACCCTCTGCACTGTGGCTCAGACTTCTCCGGAGCAGGACAGTCCAGTAGATCTTTCTTCGTCCCTGGACCTCTTCTCTTCTCTTGACCTTGAGAGTCTGGTGCAGGACCGTAACCCACCTGAGGTTATCCAAGAACCTCCTGCTCCAGAAACCCCAAACCTCCAGGACTTTAACAGTCCTTCAGAAACTGTCAGTCCACCAGAGAAAACCGTCCCACCAGAGACAGAGGACGTCAGCTCCGATGCCGCTCACTTCATGGTTTCAGCGATGATCCAAAAGCTCTTGGACAAATCCCCCGTGTCCCTGGACATTAGGGAACAAGGAAAAGTCATTTTGCGACTGCGTGAGGTGGAGCGAAGAGTCTCCATGCCCCAAGGAACAGACCTAAAGACCAAGGACCTCAAAACTAAAGCTAAAGAGGCGGCTAGAAGTCTCCGGGAAGAGCTGGGACCCATCTCCTCCGCCCTGCTCCAGAGCGACTGGTTTGTGGAGGCAGCGGTGAGAAATTTGAACATCCAGCTCCAAGACTTCGACGAGGACCCAGGCCGACGACCAGGACGCTTCTTCCTCCGAGTTCTTAAAATGTTCAGGACCAGGAGGAGCAGAGTGTCGCCTGGTCCTCTGAGAGCATACCTCAGATCAGCGTGTTAAGAGCACATCACTCCTGCCTGAGGTCACCTTCACTTACTGTAGGAGGTCACCGCAGAAGGACTGGGGACATAAAAAAACATAATGAAGACAAAAAAAGCATGAAAAACGGAAAAAAAACAACAAAAATAAGGTTGAATTCATAAAATTCAACAAAAAAGGGAAAAAAGAAAAAAACATTGAAATTTGAAAATCAAATTGGGAAGAAACAAGGCTCATTTAAATATTGCATGGCATAATGTAATATTTAAATGTACAATGGCATATTGTAAAAATGCAGATTTCTATGATATGCCATGAGCTTTGAAGAACTCAAAAAATTTAAATGGGGGGTTATTTGATCGACACAACCAAATTGGGAAAAACAAAGCCTTTTGGTATAGCTTAAGAATAGGGATTTTTAAGAGATGCCTTAAGCTTTGTTGAGCTGAAAAATAAAAGAATTGGAATAAGGGGGGGTTAAAAATAAAAAAATAATAAAAATTAAAAAATGTTTGTCCTGTTTATTGTGTAGGTGTGTGTGTGTGTGTGTGTGTGTGTGTGTGTGTGTGTGTGCGTGCGTGCGTGCGTGTGTAGGTGTGTGTGTGTGTGTGTGTGTGTGTGTGTGTGTGTGTGTTGGTGTGTGTGGATATTGCCATCAAAGTTCAGGAATGTAGTTATTGATTGTTAAAAAGACTGTGAGGGCTTTTTGTTGTTGTTATTGAATCTGTGTTGTTGTTATGAAGTTGGTGGCAGCTCTGATCGCCATGGTTACACTCACTCTGCAAACACGCACACGGACGACATACTACATTAGTTTTCACGGAGGGAGATTCTTCTGTGCTTTCTAAGAATCCTCTAAGAATCCTCTCCATCCACAGAGACAAGACGGAGACAGTCGTGTTTATTCACTTTGACAAAGTATCTGCGAGTGAAGAGTCTGAGGCAAACACTGAGAGAGGAGAGAGAAGGAGAGGGTCACACCAGCAGACGTAAAGAGACCAGAGAGAAACCAGAGAGAGACCAGAGAGAAACCAGAGAGAGACCCGAGAGAGACCAGAGAGAGACCCGAGAGAGACCAGAGAGAGACCCGATAGAGACCAGAGAGAGACCCGAGAGAGACCAGAGAGAAACCAGAGAGACCAGAGAGAGAGACCAGAGAGAGACAGAGAGAGAGACCAGAGAGACCAGAGAGAGACAGAGAGAGAGAGCAGAGAGAAACCAGAGAGACCAGAGAGAGACACCAGAGAGACCAGAGAGAGAGACAGAGAGAGAGAGCAGAGAGGGAACAGAGAGAGACATAGTGAGAGAGATGCAGAGAGAGAGAGATAGAGAGAGAAGAGAGAGACCATAGGAGCAACAAAGAGAAACCCAAGAGAGAGAGACCAAAGAGAGACCAGAGACCAGAGAGACCAGAGAGAGTCCAGAGAGAGGTCAGAGAGAGACCAGAGGGAGAGAGAAAGAGAGAGAGGGGGAGAGAGAGAGGGAGACCATAGGAGCAACAAAGAGAGGCCACAGAGAGAAAGACAAAAGAGAGACCAGAGAAAAACAAAAAGCGACCAGAGGGAGACCAGAGAGAGACAGAGAGAGACTAGAAAGAGATGAATGAGAGGGTCACATCAGGAGACATAAACACAGCCGCAGTGTTTGAGTTGAGTGGATCTGAAAGTGTTGGATGAGATGAACTGTGGGAGCTCAATGTCAACAAATATTCTCCTGAAGTGAGAGAGAGAGTGTGACGATGTGTGTGGCTGTGGCCTGTGTGTCTCATAAGTGTGGGAGTCTAAAACAGGCCTTTGTCTCACGGATGTACTTTGGTGCGAGAACATGGAGAGAGCTGCTTTAAAGTCTGTTCTCAGAGCCACAGGAAGCAGAGACCTGAGACTAGGACTAACCATGGATCTATAATGATAACTAATTACTAGCTTATAGCTGTTCCACCCACGGGCACAGGGGGCGCCTGTGGTACTGCAGACTAAATTCACGAGGGCTACCAAGAAAAAATGTGATGGTACTTCCTGGTTCTAGTCAGGACTCGAGCTGTAGTGTTTTGAATGAACTGCAGCTGTTTTACGTCTTGTCTCGTGAGATTCAAACTCCACCCATTTTCTCAGGTCTATACGTTCAGACCTGCTTGGTTGGAATGAAAACCAACCAAGGAGGTAAAATAATAAATAATAAAAAACAGTTCAAAGGAGTGCTGAAGTATATCTTATTGTTTTTATTTTGATTTGTACATCCATCCATCTTCTTCCCCTTAATCCATTTCTGGGTTGGGGGGTGGCAGTCAGAGCTGCACCCAGTCACATAGCACCAGCCCCTCACTGATCCTGCTGCAGGTGCTGAGTCCACAGGAGCCCTGATCTTCCAGTGGGGGCTTCAGGCAAAGTGGGGTTAAGTGTCTTGCCCAAGGACACAACGACAGCAGACATCAGTGCAAGTCGTGAAGTAGGTCTTGTTGGGGGGCTCGAACCCACGAGCTTCAGGCTCAAAGGCCAATGCTCTCCCAACTGAGCCACTGTCGCCCCCTACTTTGAACATGTTTTAAGAAATTGTAGTCTTGTCATTTGTTTGACAAGACTACAATTATTTAATATGTAATTGTATTATTTGATGTATTGTCATGTCCACAATTGAAATAAAAAAATGAAAAAAATGAATAAAACCTGCATCCACACCGGCCTCGATCTTGACAGTCTATTTATCTTTACATGCAGTGTTGGGAGTAACATGTTTCAAAAGTAATGTGCGTTACATTGCATTTTAACCTGAAATTTAACAGTGTTTTGTTTTTATACTCTGCCACCGCAAGATCAGCAGAAGATCACATCTGCTCCAATAGTATTTGCCTAAAAGTGTTGTTCCTTTCTGATAGAAGACGGCTGAGGCAGAAGATGAAACCGCTCTATGTGGACAATAGAAAATTTTACAGATGGAGAGACTCGACCAACCTCTCGCTATAGCATCATAAGCTACATTTAGTTTCTATATATCTATATTTGGTGAAAGTAACTTCAAAGTAAAGCAGTAATCTTGTAGAGTAACACATTACTTGAAGCACATCGTGTATACAGGTTCTGCAGTCACTCGTCCAACACCGGTCACATTCATTTGACAGATAGTGTGAATATAGACCTGCCTTTGCACTGAGAGCTTGATTTAAATCACATATAGGAAAAACTGAGTCTTTCCAAAGTGCAGGCAGTTTGATTACACTATGGAAGGTTAACGTGCTGTGAGTGTGTGTGCGGAGGGTCTAACATACTCCGAGTGTGTGTGTATTCAAAGGGTGTGGTTCCTATAGGTCTGTTTAAGGTGCCAGCTCCACACGTCTCCACTGCTTTCTTCACAAACCAGAGAAAGTAATTGGTCTCATTCTGGAGCCTTCGCACAAACCCAAAGCCACAGCTGTGAAGCCGCGTCACTGTTTAACAAAGATTAGCTTGTTGTGAGTATTCGACACACACCAGTGGCACCGACGACCGCTAATATCATGGAGCCACATCTGAAGAAGAAACCACAGACCAAATTAACTCCTCTGCAAAGCATTCTGGGACCGAAATGAGAGCCACACCTCAAGATGGAGAGTCACTAAAGCGCTCACATGCACAGAAACATCTACACATCTAAACATATGTACCGAGCCTGGACATCTCATCTGTAGATAGACAGATAGTGTAAATATAGAGAGATACTTTACACTATTGTATATTATCACATGTGTACTATACTGTAAATGTGTACATATTCACAGATATGTAACACCTATATCCATATTATTCTATTCTCACAATATTATCTTATTATTATTCTTATTTTCAGATACTGTTATTTTAAGTTTTTTTTATTGTGGAATACTATGCAAGCTACTGTGACAACGCAATATCCCTGTGGATCAATAAAGTCTGGCAAAGTCTGAGTTATTGATGCAGGTGTCCAGCAGCAGACACACATACAGTATGTCCATACACACACATAAATACTTAATTGTAAAAGTTGTGCAAGGTGCGATACTGCCATTTCAGAATGACCACCGAATGTCACTTATCTCCTATATAGATATAGATATACTGTAGATAGATAGAAAGATATAAAGATAGATAGATAAATACTGGCTGCTCTTATCTCTCTCTATATGATGCAGCCTGCGGGAATTCAGTCTGGTTGTCTTCCTGCTGCAGCCCATCCAAGCCGGCCCCTTTCTCCCTCGGCCAATCACACGCCAGCTGATTAAAAGCGGAACCTTCCAACAACTGACCCTTTTCCAGCCTCACAAGGAGTTTGTTCTGGGGTCATTTTCATTTACTCATGCATCACTACCACCACCTCGTCAAACAAATGAATACATAATTTTATGCAATTTTGTGTCTGTGTAGTCTCTCCAGATTGAATTGTGTGCTCCTTGTGTGCTCTTACTACTGTCCTGTCCGTGCGCTGTAACATTGTCGTTTCCCCTCGGGACGAACAAAGGGCAATCCACTGAACAGACGGAAGCAAAACCAAAAAGAACTTGAGGAAAAAGTCTGTATCAAACCCATACGATGGCGTTAAACGTCCTCATGTGGCAACTTATCGTCACGCTCCACTCACTGATGGTTGTATAGTGCATATTTACAAAAGGACCACATCTTGAGAACCTCACTTTCCCAATGCTTTGTTGTGTGATCGTAAAAAATGTTATCAGTGCAATAATGACTTTTTATGGACTTGTGTGTTTGACTGTCACCACCAACCAAAAGAACCCAGACCGCCAACAGTTTACCCACTTCTGTCTTTGACTCGAAACACTGATATTAAGCAGTTGGCGCCAAGAAAATAAGTGAATGTAAAAATAGTCTGCGTAAAAATACCACATTCCTGGAGACTGACAGATCCTCCATTTAGAGCAAGAGGCTGATATATCGGAGGGAGGGACGTTCCCAGAAAAACAGCTTTTTTGAGCGGTGTGGGGTGGGAGAGAGAGAGAGGGGAGAGAGGAATAATAATTACCTGCTTCTCTCTCCTCTCTCTCTCCAAAGACAACATAAACTGGCTCTGCATTCTTCAGACTACAGTTATGCTGACCCACAGTCTCCTGGAGTGAGGTGAATCTGCTCCTTTGTGCAGATGCTGAGTCCGACTGCAGAAGGAAGGGAGCGCATTCTCCTGTTTAAGGTCAGGTTGAAGCTGGGGGACGCAGCTTTCACACCACAAAAAGGGTCAATAGTTAAAACAATTATATCATGAGTGTTCACATGCATCAGTCACATCTTTGTATCAGTTATGTCATTATATCAAACAGAAAAGTAGAGTGCTATATCCTCAGCAGAACTGTGTCTCCTGAAGGACAAGAGGGAGTGTGTACAAGAACTGGACCTAAGCTCGAACCCTGGGGCCCACCGGTTGGTAAGGACCCGAGAGGACCCGAGAGGAGCAGGTATCCAGACTTACCAGACAGCAGCAGAGGCCAAGGTAAAAGAAGAGTGGGCACCTAAAGAGAGGCTTAATTTTATATCAAATCATTTCAAATATTTAACAAAGCAAAACTATATAGAAACACCATAAAAAGACTGAAAACATCAGATGAAATCCCCATAAATGTATTTGTGTAGATTTTTACATCACAACAGCAGTCGTCAAACAGTTTGAACACAGGAAATACAATAAAAACACAAAAGAGCCTTTGGTCCACAGGGAGCAGGATGACCCCTCAAAATGTCCTGGATCCTCATGGTCCTTAGAATCTCTTAGATCAGAGAGGAACCGCTCGGAAACACACTGGGGAAAGATGAGAAACCTCGTATTGAGAGAGGGATCCGCCCCCAGAGAAGAACAGGTTCTAAGACAGAATCTAAGGATCCAATGTTAAACCACAGGTGACAGACACTGAACCAGAAAGTTATTGAAAAGGTGTTTTTGCATCAGTTCCAAGAAAAGTCCCTTTAATCCCCATGTGTCAGTTTGTCAGAAGAATGACAGAAGAATCTCAGTGCTGCTGCATTAAAGGTAAAACCCTGTGTCACATGTTTGAGTGGTTCCTCAAACTCCAGTGAGGGTTTAAAGCAGAATGTTGTATACACAGAGTTTCACAGAATCCTTACAAGCCAAACATTAGAATGACTTTCAAGTGAACCTGGGTCAGTGCTCCTCATTCTCCTCACAGACCAGAGGAAGTCCTCAGAGACCAGAGGAAGTCCTCAGAGACCAGAGGAAGACCTCACAGAGCAGAGGAAGTCCTCACAGAGCAGAGGAAGTCCTCACAGACCAGAGGAAGTCCTCACAGAGCAGAGGAAGTCCTCACAGAGCAGAGGAAGTCCTCACAGAGCAGAGGAAGTCCTCACAGAACAGAGGAAGTCCTCAGAGACCAGAGGAAGTCAAACATCTCTGTGGTCTTCACCTCAGTGTTGTGTTCTCTGAGGATGAGTCTGTGAGTGTCTTCGTCAGCTCAAAGAGGTCAAAGTGTTAATTGGACGAGATCCTCTTTCTGTGCAGATGATAACGGAACGTGTCTCTATGTGAGAACAAACTGGAGCAAGGACGAAGTTCATCAATCACTCACTTTCAGTGTTTTTATAATGAAAAAAGAAGAAGGAAATAAAGCCAAATGGAGAATTATCGTTAAAAGACAATTAGGAAAGGGCACTCTGGAGTCCTCCTCGCTCTGGACATTATTATTATATCCTATTAAGACAAAGTCTAATACAAACTCGCACCAGGATCACTACAAGTAACCTCTCTGACTCCTCACCGTCGGTCAGGAGTAATCAGGGAGAGAGACCAGAGAGAGAGACCAGAGAGAGAGACCAGAGAGAGAGACCAGAGAGAGAGACAGAGAGAGAGACAGAGAGAGAGACCAGAGAAAGAGATTATAGAGAGAGACCAGAGAGAAACCAGAGAGAGATCAGAAAGAGACCAGAAAGAGAGACAGAGAGAGAGACCAGAGAGAGACCAGAGAAAGACCAGAATGAGAGAACAGAGAGAGACCAGAGAGAGAGACCAGAGAGAGAGAGACAGAGAGAAAAACCAGAGAGACCAGTACAGTAACCTCTCCGACTCCACAGCCTCGATCAGGAAGTCCAGTCGCCTGCAGATCACAAATTGCGTTTCCTGTTTGTGCAGCTGCTGAACACGAGTGAAAAAGTGTGGATTAAACGCCGTCAGAGGAAACGGTTTTCAACAAATGAAAATAGCTCAAAGTCTAAAAACTGCTTCTGCACCTGGTGCCTCTCAATCAGCGTCTGCAGAGATCTGACCCTGAGAAGGATCATGCAGAACCAGAGGGCAGATAATTAAGACAAGCAGGAGGTTCACCTGGTAATGTGATTTTAAAAAGGGCTTTGGAAAAAAGTACAGTACAAGGAGAGTTATATTTGACAGGTCTGGGTTTGGGAACAGACCAAAGGACCAGAGAGAGACCAGACAGAAAGACCTGAGTGAATGACCTGAGAGGGAGACCTGAGTGAGAAACCAGAGAGAGAGACAAGAGAGAGACCAGAGAGAGACCATAAAGAGAGACTAGAGAAAGACCAGAGTGAAAGACCAGAGAGAGAGACCAGAGTGAGAGACAAGAGTGAGAAACCAGAGAGAGAGACAAGAGAGAGAGACTAGAGAAAGACCGGAGTGAGAGACCAGAAGGAGAGACCAGTAAGAGAGACTAGAGAAAGACCAGAGTGAAAGACCAGAGAGAGAGACCAAAATTGAGATACCAGAGAGAGAGAGCTTCAGATTCAGTTTATTTGACATTTGCAGAACAAGCGCATCTGAATAACAAAGCAGAGCAGAGAGAGAGACCAGAGAGAGAGACAACTGAGATAGATAGACCAGAAACAAACTACAGAGACTCCAGAGAGAAACTAGAGTGAGAGAGAGAGAGGAATACAACTTTGTGACAAATATTAAAAGCTGAGGAAATCTGTTTTTGCAAATGAACTATCCATTTTTAAATTGTGCATTTCTGATCATAACTGGTCATAACTGGTCTTAACTGGTCATAACTGGTCTTAACTGGTCATAACTGGTCTTAACTGGTCATAACTGGTCTTAACTGGTCATAACTGGTCATAACTGGTCATAACTGGTCTCATGACAGAAGATAACATGATAAAATCCTTGAACAAAACACCATATATTTCTTGGCCTTTGGAACATAACTTGACTTTGCTTTAAAGTCCACAAACAAACCAAACGTCAGCCCACAGTGACATATTATCACCTCGTAAAGTGGCGTCAGCGGTAATCAAGGCTTAAAATAACATTTATGACCTCTGTAAATCCACACAACACAACAAAATACAGAAATGACTATAACGCTGCCAAAAAACTTATATAAGAGAAAACACACAACACACGTTAATGTTTCACGGTATTCAAGAGGAAATGTCAGGGATTTGGCTCCGGTTCAGTCTGAATAATATGGTTATCAAACTGAGTTGCATAAAGAGAGAGAGAGACTGGAGAAAAAGAGACCAGAGCGGGCTAGAGAGAGAACAGAGAGAGACCAGAGAGAGATCAGAGAGAGACCAGAGAGAGAGACCAGAGAGAGATCAGAGAGAGACCAGAGAGAGAGACCAGAGAGAGATCAGAGAGAGAGACCAGAGAGAGGTCAGAGAGAGGCCAGAGAAAGAGGCCAGAGAGACCAGAGAGAGACCAGAGAGAGACCCGAGAGAGGCCAGAGAGAGACCAGAGAGAGACCCGAGAGAGGCCAGAGAAAGAGGCCAGAGAGACCAGAGAGAGACCAGAGAGAGACCCGAGAGAGGCCAGAGAGAGAGACCAGAGAGAGGCAAGACACAGACCAGAGAGAGACCAGAGAGAGACCAGAGCGAGGCAAGACACAGACCAGAGAGAGACCAGAGAGAGACCAGAGCGAGGCCAGAGAGAGACCAGAGAGAGACTCGAGAGAGGCCAGAGAAAGAGGCCAGAGAGACCAGAGAGAGACCAGAGAGAGACCCGAGAGAGGCCAGAGAGAGAGACCAGAGAGAGGCAAGACACAGACCAGAGAGAGACCAGAGAGAGACCAGAGAGAGGCAAGACACAGACCAGAGAGAGACCAGAGAGAGAGACCAGAGAGGGACCAGAGAGAGGTCAGAGAGAGGCCAGAGAAAGAGGCCAGAGAGACCAGAGAGAGACCAGAGAGAGACCCGAGAGAGGCCAGAGAGAGACCAGAGAGAGACCAGAGAAAGAGGCCAGAGAGACCAGAGAGAGACCAGAGAGAGACCCGAGAGAGGCCAGAGAGAGAGACCAGAGAGAGGCAAGACACAGACCAGAGAGAGACCAGAGAGAGACCAGAGCGAGGCCAGAGAGAGACCAGAGAGAGACCCGAGAGAGGCCAGAGAGAGAGACCAGAGAGAGACCAGAGAGAGGCAAGAGAGGCAGACACAGAGAGAGACCAGAGAGAGACCAGAGCGAGGCCAGAGAGAGACCAGAGAGAGACCCGAGAGAGGCCAGAGAGAGAGACCAGAGAGAGGCAAGACACAGACCAGAGAGAGACCAGAGAGAGACCCGAGAGAGGCCAGAGAGAGAGACCAGAGAGAGGCAAGACACAGACCAGAGAGAGACCAGAGAGAGACCAGAGAGAGGCAAGACACAGACCAGAGAGAGACCAGAGAGAGACCAGAGCGAGGCCAGGGAGAGACCAGAGAGAGACCAGAGAGAGGCAAGACACAGACCAGAGAGAGACCAGAGAGAGACCAGAGCGAGGCCAGGGAGAGACCAGAGAGAGACCAGAGAGAGACCAGAGAGAGGCCAGAGAGAGGCCAGAGAGAGAGACCAGAGAGAGACCAGAGAGAGACCCGAGAGAGGCCAGAGAGAGAGACCAGAGAGAGGCAAGACACAGACCAGAGAGAGACCAGAGAGAGACCAGAGCGAGGCCAGAGAGAGACCAGAGGGAGGCCAGGGAGAGACCAGAGAGAGACCAGAGAGAGACCAGAGAGAGACCCGAGAGAGGCCAGAGAGAGAGACCAGAGAGAGGCAAGACACAGACCAGAGAGAGACCAGAGAGAGACCAGAGAGAGACCAGAGAGAGACCAGAGAGAGACCCGAGAGAGGCCAGAGAGAGAGAACAGAGAGAGGCAAGACACAGACCAGAGAGAGACCAGAGAGAGACCAGAGCGAGGCCAGAGAGAGACCAGAGGGAGACCATAGAGAGGCCAGAGAGAGACCAGAGAGAGACCAGAGCGAGGCCAGAGAGAGACCAGAGGGAGACCATAGAGAGGCCAGAGAGAGACCAGAGGGAGGCCAGGGAGAGACCAGAGAAAGACCAGAGAGAGACCAGAGAGACACCAGAGAGAGAAGACAGAGATAGACCAGAGAGAGACCGAAAAAAGACCAGAGAGAGGTGCTTTATCAACCCTTAGTTGCGTGTAGTGTCAAAGTCTCTGTGGATGTTGTTATCGAATCCAGTTGCATAATGGAGCTGCACATGGTTGAATGTCGTGATGTTTTGAGCTGCTATAGATTCTCCACAGGTGTTTTCAGATCACTCACAGCAGCAGCGTCTGTCGTGATCAAAAGGATCACACACAGGATCAAAAGGAGAGACACACACCTCTCCAGGACATCCGCAGTCTGCTCCTTCTTCACATTTTGTCCTGAATTTAGCCGGAGTCGACCTCCTCTTGAATCCACAAACTGTGATCTGTGTGAAGTTCTTCTACTGCACATGTCTAAATAAATGTCTGCAGCTCCTGCTTTGGACGTGTGTGTGTGTGTGTGTGTGTGTGTGTGTGTGTGTGTGTGTGTGTGTGTGTGTGTGTGTGTGGTCTGCCACCTGGAAAGAAGTCTTATATGAGTGAAAGTGCAGACACCAGAACAGACGGAGAGAGAGAGAGAGATTGTTATGGGGAACTGCAAATACTAGAGACAGAGAAAGACCAGAGAGAGACCAGAGAGAGACCACAGAGACACCAGAGAGAGACCAGAGAGAGACCAGAGAGAGACCAGAGAGAGACCAGAGAGAGACCAGAGAGAGACCAGAGAGAGACCAGAGAGACACCAGAGAGAGACCAGAGAGAGACCAGAGAGAGACCAGAGCGAGGCCAGGGAGAGACCAGAGAGAGACCAGAGAGAGACCAGAGAGAGACCAGAGAGACACCAGAGAGAGACCAGAGAGAGACCAGAGAGAGACCAGAGAGAGACCAGAGAGAGACCAGAGAGAGACCAGAGAGAGACCAGAGAGAGAGATCAGAGAGAGATCAGAGAGAGACCAGAGAGAGACCAGAGAGAGACCAGAGAGAGACCAGAGAGAGACCAGAGAGAGACCAGAGAGACACCAGAGAGACACCAGAGAGAGATCAGAGAGAGACCAGAGAGAGATCAGAGAGAGAGACCAGAGAGAGACCAGAGAGAGACCAGAGAGAGATCAGAGAGAGACCAGAGAGAGATCAGAGAGAGAGACCAGAGAGAGACCAGAGAGAGACCAGAGAGAGACCAGAACGAGACCAGAGAGAGACCAGAGAGAGACCAGAGAGA